AGATATTCCTGCCATCTTTCGACTTAAAAGCGAACTAAAATGTTTGTTTTTTTTTACATTGCTCCATTTTTTAAACCACTTATCCTAAAATTTCAAAAAAGTACTTTTATATAAAAATTAAATTAAATTAATAAAACATAATTTAACCTTGAGGTTATAGAATATAGTTTAAGTTACAAGTTATCATCTATCATATAATAATGATTTGAAATTAATTCAGTGTTTGCACGTGATGAAAGTATGGAAATTTATATTTTAAAATAAGGGGGCGGAAAATGTGGGCGCCACCCATTTTTTAAGTGATAAATTGTAAAAAAAGTGTGTAGAGAATGGTCGTTGCTCGAAGCCATAAGCAATTTTTGTTGGCTATAAAATGTCGAATTTCTTATAAGGCAACATTTTAATCCCCTTTTTACTATGTTCATATTCGATAATATAAAATAGGTGTGGTTTAAAATACGTTCGAATCTTTATTGCTCTACTTTCGATGGTCACTGATTTATTTACAAGTTGAGATTGTTGAACATTTCCCTTTAGATTTACTCGTTAAGGATAATTTACTGTCTGTTTTTTTAAGAAACTAAAACAGTATATTTGCTGTAGAGACTTACAGACAAGTCATTTTGTCGTCTACAATTCGACAATCTGTAGTAAGGTAGTACTTGTTCAACAATTTATTTGTTTAGCAATTCTCTGTTCAGCTCTATCTACTTGTACTGTACAGTAATACATTGCGGTTTTTTTCTTTTTATATAGCATTACTTAGTTCAACAATATTTACTTGTGTGCAATATACTGCTTAATAATTTGTTTCTATAGCAATATATCGTTTAGCATTATTTACTTGTACAGCACTATTGATATAGCATTGTTGAAAAATTTACTGTGCAGATCTTTTACAGTGCTCTTATATGGGGTACGTAAATCTATAGCTGAACAGTGCATTTCTAGATTTTTGAACAATGAATTCAAACAATTGATTGAGGAATCCATTACTTTAGATTGTTGAACACTGAAGTACAGTACTGTATTACAGAAATAAACTGTCAAAAGGTGCATACCTGTATAAATAAACTGTTGAACAGTGAATCTTCGTATGAAGTTATAAATCAATGCCCTGTTTAACAGTGCATTGCTATAGACTATTATAGACTTGCTATGGACTATTAACAGTTCACTGTTCAACAATCAACCAATGAAGAATTTCCTAGCAATTTATTTTTTAATTTAGAAGAACGAATTTTTAAAAGTACAGAAGAACAGCTTAATTTTCTATTCATATTAAATTAAAAGTAAATTTTTTAATAAAAAAACGCAATAAATTCACATATAAGCCTTTTTTACTGTTAGTTTTTAAATATTTTACGAATTCCTAAATATATTATTTATAACTTTGTTTTTCACTATTTTATGACACTTGTTTACATACTTGAATAAAGTGTAAAAGAAGTTGAAGTAACATTAAGCAATCTCCAAAAAAAAACAAAAAAAAATCAATCTGTCAATTTTTAGATTTTAAAACTTTCAGTATATAAATCGTCGACTTTCTTAGATTCTAAATTACTTTCATGAAATATTAAACAGACATTTAGACATCACGTATTCTTGTCTGACATCAATAGTTGTTAAGATACCCCATTGCCTTTTTGCATCTTTCCAACTTAACTAAAGGCTGTATACATGGAGATTTTTTTTTTAGAAATCTGTGGAAAAATTCTTAAATTTATCATTTTTAGAAGAATATTTTAGAGTTAAAGAATAGATATTTTATTATTAAATAAAAATATTTATTTATGTAATAATACGAAAAAAGGGATGCAAATTTTTTATAGAATCTTTCAAAATATCGAAGAGTTTTTTAGATAATATTTTTGATATTTTCGTAATGTATTTTTAACATAAATAAATATATTTATATACATTTATAACTAAATTTTTATATCCGTGACTACGTTAAAGTTACGAATTTAAAAATAATGTGCTTGGTTTTTTGAATTGTTTTTTTTAAATAAAATTTTTAAATTTATAGCTTTTAGAAAAATTTTTTAGAATAAAGAATAAACCTTTCATTATTTTAAAATATACATATTTATGTAATAACACGAAGAAAAAAAATGTATATAGATTATCTATGTAATCTAATACATCATTAAAAACTTCAGATTTTTTGAATACATTTTATAAAATTTATCAAAAATAAACCATAAGAATATCAGAAATATTTTATATAATTTTTTAAAATATTATTTTGATGTATTTTTATACATTTTTAAATATATTTTATAGTTTTGAATATGTTAAAGTGACAAATTCGTGTATAACGCGCACGATATTTTATTAAATTTTTAAAGACTAAAATCTCGTTTTATGCATTAAAAAAAAACATTTTTTGATACTTTTAAACTCGAATTTTATTATTTTATCATCATTATTTTTTTAATACGAGTCAATCAATTACTATAAGTATTCAGTAAAATACCATAACATTGATTACATTTTCTGCAATGATTAATAATAATAAGCACTATTATTAGTAATTTAACTAATTTTATACATAAAATAGAAGAATAATTATCATTAATTATCATCATAGAAGATGTAAAATTCGCGTGAACATTCTAAAAAGATGTTGCAAATGATTAATATAGTAACTACACTATTGTAATTTTTTTTTCTTAATTTTCTTTCTAAAAAATCTCGCGACAACTTGTCTAAAAAAAAATAATAAAGTGATTGGAGATTCAGAATAATAATAAAGAAGAATTTTAGCCATTAAAAATGATCTAGAGGCGTTTAAAATTTATTTTTTTACACGATTATCTCCGGGTGTACATACTGCAATTTCTTTGACGAGTCAGCAGAAATATTATTATTAATGATTGCTCGAGTTCTATACAGAAAATAGAGAATGTAATCATTTTACAGATGATCTTAATACATTTTTACTACCTTTATCGGCTGCAATGTTCATTATCTGTTCATTTGTAATGTTGATGAGATTGGTTATTCACTAACTTAACTGTTAAATGTAAGGGAAAGTGATGTATAAGTGTGTGACAATCTGACATCTAAATGCATAAAAGTAATTAATTATGCTGAAAATTATGTTGAAAAATATTTATTTGATTGGTTTTTTTTATTTTTGAAAATAATTCTTGTAGTTTTTCTGAATTATCAGTTTAAGTCTTGATTTTTTGACGTTAAAAAGTAAGAGTTAACTGAAGTTAGTTCTTATTTTTTATAATAATAAAATTTTGCCTGCTTTTAAAAAAATATTATTTCAAAAAACTACTTTTAATAGCCATTTTTATTGTCTTTATTAATTAATGAATTAATTTATAATTTTTAAAATGTTAAAAAATAAAGTAATTTTCTAATTTTTGAAACTAATTCTTCATTTATTTTATTTTTTACATTATTATTTTAAAAATATGATAATATAAAAGCTTAGATTATTAACCAAGTGCAATTATTTCCAAAAAATAAGAACTAATTTCAGTAAAAATTTGTGAGNATTAAAATTGAGAATAAATCTTAAAAATCTTATTCTCTGATTATACACTTATAACAATAAAAAATAATTTTCTTGGCTTGCACAGCACTTAAAAATCTAAATAACTCATTAATTGACATGTATAATCCAAAAAAATCTCATTCCTTGCTCTTACACCCATTTAAAATCTAAAAATATCTTATTTATTGTAGGTCGTTAACACAATAAATTTATTTATTTATTTATTTTTGCAATTCATCATTTTACAAATAGAAAATCTTCCATTGCGATCTTTTTCATAGGGTGCTTTTACTAATATTTGGACTAATTACATTCATTTCATCATTAGATGCGGAGTAAAAATTTCTTGGCTTAAAATAAAAGGTTATTTCGGAGGAAAAAAAATGATAAGATACAGATGAGGGAGAGAACTGTGATGTTGCTCGAGCGATAAACTGTGACACTTCGTACCATCCACGCCCAAATTTCAGACATACGTCGTAACCCGAAAGCGCACGACCTACCTGGAAGTGAAAGAAGTGCCCCTTTGGGTCCTCCGGCAATCCATCTTCAAAAAATATTCTTATAAAATATGATACTCATTTTTCATATTCGTCACTTTGTTATAACACAAAAGATTTCCATCTCTTTCTAACAATTCAAATATTTGTTTCTCCTGATCCCAGAATTTTAAGAAATTTACATCTCAATTCCAGAAAAAGAAATTTGCCTCTCTTAATTCAAAAGATACGAAAAATTTGCATCTCGGATCGTATTAAAATTAAAATTTTGTAATCCTATTCCTAGTCCTAAAAATAAAAAAATAAAATAAAATAAAATGTCGCAACTCTTAGTTCTAAAAATGTAAAACGTTTGCACTTCCTAGTTCCAAACTACAAAAAATGTTGTATTTCCTAGTCTTAGAAATGTAAAGAAGCTGTCTCTTCTCGAAAATTTATATTCCTGATAAAGTTAAATTTGAAATTTAAAATTTTATATTCCTGATAAAAGTTAAATAAACCTGTAGACCCAGTAATAGAATTAATATAGGCTTAGAGATCCATTATATTAGCCTGTAAAGTCTATAGGTTATACAAGCTCAATAAAGATTATACTCGCTATTAAGGATATGCAAATTGCAAAATTATAACATATTCTATGTAGGCCCTATAAGCCCGTTAAATAGAATTCTTTCTCATTCATTAACTAGAATTTTTATCATTTAGGGTTATCATCATAAAAATTTATCATTTTTACACAATTTTAAAGAAAATTGCTGACACACGTGTACACAAACATCCAGAAGCAAAAATTTGCATCAGTTACTTTAATATAAAACTCATATCTAAACTATCGAGCAAACTTTTAAGGATAAATTAACAACAGATGAGGCGAAAATGGACGAGTTGTTGAATAACGAACAGTAAAAAAAATGAAATTCTCGAAAGTTTTTGCATAGTCGAAATTCGAGTTGGCGGCTTCTGTTTAGGAACAGACGTTGGAGCGTGACAAATGGTTAACGTGCAAAGATCACATCAATAACATCACGAAGCAGCTAAGAGCTCGACTGCTATCTAGACCAGGTTTCAGGTACGCATTAGGATTCTAGTGCGTTAGATCGGGTTACAGTAAAGTTGCAACACACGTAGAGTACCAAATAGTGTTTAATTCTAGCGATGTTGACGTTTTCATAAGGAACGTGAAGTCGATTTACGAATTATTGAACCTGTTGACATCAACAGACAGCTACGTGATATTATAGATGATGTGAGAAACGTCGGGGTGGTCTTTACTGAAGGTGAAGTCGATAGAACTTGTACAATTTCGAGAGCTTCGACTACGCTACTCTATATATCTTTCTATTGTCAATCGATATACCTGAGTGGATGTAAGTAATGGATGTGAATGCCAATTGCTAACAAAACAAAAATACATTATTTGAACTTCTCGGTACTGTTTATTGTTCTTCGTTTTGTTGCAACATGATGTAAGTGCAAAGTTTGGTTTTTTTAATGTTACAGTCACGTGAATTTTCTTTTGGGATTCGAATTTAAATAATATTTTGTGTAATTTAACAAAGGATTTAAGAATATTCCTATCTCTTTTCTTACATTATGCAATATTAATTTAATTTTCACGAGCGTATAAGCATTGTTACGTCAATAAAACATCACTCGATGAATATTTAATTCTCTTACTTTTAAGAATGTAAGGAAATTCTATATAAACTTTTATTCAAAATATGCTTTTTTTATACTGTAAAACTTTTATAATACTCTTTATTGATGCGTACACGTAAACGGATTTAACTCTCTCCCCGTTTATAAATTTATTCAAATTTGTAAAAATATTAAAATTTTATAAATATACCTTATGTAGAATACGAAAATATTCTTATATTCAGGTATATATCCACAAATTATATTATTTAGAAACCATACGTTGAAGAGACTCGATGTAGAAGAGAGAGATGCATCGCTCTTACTTATAAAAGGCTTTAAAAATGTAGCGGTTTGCTTAAACAATTTTTTTTATTAATTTATATATTATAAAGGTTATTAAGAAATATAAATAAAACAGGAATTACTATTGGTTAATTTAAAAATAGAAAAAAAACCGCTACCGACTACAGCGCAGTCTGGCGTCAGGCGAGGGTGGGGCGGCCTTTCCAACAACCGACCAACCCTCTAATTGGAATGTTAACTGACTTGTCTGGCCTATCCTCTACAGACCAATTCCTTCAAAAAACATCACATCTGGACACAAAATTGACTTTCTTGCCTTTCCCTAAACGATATATCCTACTCCGACTACCCCATATTTAACAAGCGTACAAAAACTGCACCCGCTCGTCATAAAATCCCCTCAAATTCCAATTGTTCTTTTTACAAATCGACACTAATTTAAATGACGTAACGGATGTTAACCCCGGGTAAATTGCTAGTGTTTTTTTTATAGATTTTTCGAATATTTTTTAGTGTATCTATTAAAATTATGTGCGGAAGTTAAAAAAAAATATCACGTGGGTGTCGAACATGACCGAATTATTTCGTCAGGTGAAGTAGTTGGTAAACATCCATCCCCGCTGTTTTATAGTCATTTTATTAAAGAGACGACTTTATTAATTGAATGTTTTTAGATATTAAACGCTGGCAAGTGCAATTGGTGAAGTACAGGATGGGATGTCGTTACTGACAGACATAAGGAAAACATTGAAACTGTCATAACTCTGTCATCTAGTGTAAGAAACACCGGATGATATATATGACATATATTTTTATAAGTCGTGGGTTGTATAATTAGCGTTTTAATTCTTGTAGCGATGTTAACAATGAATTTATTCATTGAACTAATTAGGTACGTTATCTAAGAAGACAAATGCCATCACCTTCAGGTGTGTTGAGGATGACCTCTGTTGCTCCTTCTCATCCAAATGGTCGTTAACCTGTCCTCCGGCTTCCACCTAAATAATCCTAAAGGCTATTAAAATAAAAATATGGATTCTGTATAAATGTTTTCAAAATAAATTGATTACGATTCTTGTAAGCAATCTTACAAGTTGTGTTTTTTTTTTTTTTTTTTGAATTACTCCCATCGATAAATTATAATACAAGTAATTGAGTTTTATATAGCATCTTCTTATCTATAAAATAGGTTCAAACAGGCTCTACCAGGCTTTAAATATTGGAAGAGAAATTGTTTAAATGGGAATTCTAAAAAATCAGTTACTAAAAAGTCGAAATAATTTATATATCAACTAATAATTTATGTTTGTAATTCCAGTTTTTAGAAGGACATCATCGATTTAAGTAATGCGACCTACTTAGTAATTTTTCTATGAGCCTTCAGGCATAAATATTACTTTGACGTTTTTGGAATATAAGATAATAAATTTTTTAATTTATTTTCTAATAAATTAACATATAAATAATTTTATTTATTTATTTTTTCCTCTAACGAAGCTGAATTTATGCCTTGATAAAGTCACACCGACCGTTCGGGTTAGCTGTTCTTAACAGGTTTTTTTTTTTTTTTAAGATAAGAATTGGAAAAAATGTTGGAAATACCTTCGTATACATTGAAGATTATGTTGTAAAGAACAATTAAGGGTAATTTATGTGTAATTAAACATTCAAAAAAATTAAGTAAACTTTTTCTGAAGTTACTGCAACATCTTGAGAATAGGCACAGTGGGTTGTCCAATAGATCTACATAAGTTAACAGGAATTAACATAGAAGATCGTATCTAAAACCAGTTTTAGACCAAACATAGTGTACAGGGTGTAAAGATTGGAGTCACGATTGAGGTATTACTGGTAATAAAGGTGTCAGAAACACCTGTAATCTGAACAATGTTTTCATCTCTTACGACTGAGGTGAGAATGGAAGAATATTTTAGCGACTTTTTAAATTTCCTTTTCATGTTTTTATAATGATAATCACTAAATAATAACATTTTTTGAGTGTATTAGCCTTTATTAAAGTGTTTTAAATTCATGGAATAGACTTACGAAGTGTGAACATTCGTTTCAAAACCTGAAAAGTTATCACTCTCTCTGCAACTCTTGCCTTCTTAAAATGGAAAATGTGATAAGGTATGGGAATTTTAGAGCACCAATGAACAAAGATGAGGTTATAAATACATGAAGAAGTTTAAAAATAAAAGAGGAAGAGTAAAATGATGTTAGGGGTGGTAGCAAATTCGCTAATAACTCATCTACTTAACCTTGTATACATTAATAGTAAACTGTTATCTATGGCGTTTCCTGTCTAGCAACACCCCAAAACTGTGACACCTAATGCTTGGTGGACCCATACTCAATTTCTCTTTGGTTCCTCTATCATGAATGACGTCATAATGGGCGAAACTAATGACGAATAACTCCTTTCATAAGTCGAAACTTAATAGAAAAAACAAGGGGGGTACGTCGACAGCAACTATTATTCCAAGGCCAAACTCTAACGATAGACTGAATATAAATAAATATCGGTACGCGTGAACTTTGACCTGACATGCGATATGCCTTCTACTAACTTCCTGGTATTAAATAACACAAATATACCAAATAAATTCCTTTGTAATATCGAGAATTTGATCATCAAAAATTGGAGGTTATCGAGGAGAAATCAATTTTTAGACAGAGTGGATCCTCATGTGCTATATTTATACAAACATTTCGGAGTGCTCTATAGCTACATGTAATGATTCTGAAGTGTTTCATACTTTTTAAATGCACCTAACCCATCCCATGTCGGAGCTATCAGAGATTCTTTTGTGTCTGACAAATTATTACTGTCTGGTGGATTTAGTAAGTGTCAGTGTGAGTAATTCATGACGTACAAACGAACGTTATGCCTCGAGCCATGTTTTATCTCCCAGCGGTCAAAGGTCAGGAGTACGTTATTAATTTTTTCACACCACCATTCTACTAAATGTTACAAGAAGTAGGTTGAGTAGATTCGTGAAAGTGTCAATCATGTAAAGAAGCGATTCGATATCTAATTTCTCAAACAGTGTCATTTGATTGACTGCAACATTCGTTTTTAGAGCACTTTTCTTCAAAAAAATGACGAAAAAATCAATTGATTTCTTTAGTTTATATTAGACTATAACATTTCTTTTCTTTTTTAGAAATTTAATTATAAAACTTTATTCGTTACATGAGCCGAAACAACAATAAAATCTTCCGTACTCCTCAGCTTCTCGATTGAAGTCATCCTGATAAGTCTAATCGAGTTTAACTTAATTATAATTGATGATTAATTACAAGAATCGATTCGGTGATTAATTACATATCTAAAAAAACTTTAGATTGTTTATTATTCGAGTGGAATTTTCTACTTTTAAAATATTTTTTAATATGAAAATTACACCTTTTGTTAAGGGAAAAGCGGGGGCAGTTGAGAATGGAAGAATACAAGATGCAATTCAGAAAATCCGAATTTAAGGTATCGAATTACTTTTTGTTCGTTTACTTTGACCTTTTGAAAGTATTTTAAGGTCAAAGGGAGAACAATAAACTTTCTTAAGCCATTTATTTCTATTGTGTAAGCGAACTCACTCCCCTACTCCATGGATCAAAAGTTGTCAATGAACAGTTGGAAGGAAGATGGCGAATGGCAAGATATTCCTGCCATCTTTCGACTTAAAAGCGAACTAAAATGTTTGTTTTTTTTTACATTGCTCCATTTTTTAAACCACTTATCCTAAAATTTCAAAAAAGTACTTTTATATAAAAATTAAATTAAATTAATAAAACATAATTTAACCTTGAGGTTATAGAATATAGTTTAAGTTACAAGTTATCATCTATCATATAATAATGATTTGAAATTTATTCAGTGTTTGCACGTGATGAAAGTATGGAAATTTATATTTTAAAATAAGGGGGCGGAAAATGTGGGCGCCACCCATTTTTTAAGTGATAAATTGTAAAAAAAGTGTGTAGAGAATGGTCGTTGCTCGAAGCCATAAGCAATTTTTGTTGGCTATAAAATGTCGAATTTCTTATAAGGCAACATTTTAATCCCCTTTTTACTATGTTCATATTCGATAATATAAAATAGGTGTGGTTTAAAATACGTTCGAATCTTTATTGCTCTACTTTCGATGGTCACTGATTTATTTACAAGTTGAGATTGTTGAACGTTTCCCTTTAGATTTACTCGTTAAGGATAATTTACTGTCTGTTTTTTTAAGAAACTAAAACAGTATATTTGCTGTAGAGACTTACAGACAAGTCATTTTGTCGTCTACAATTCGACAATCTGTAGTAAGGTAGTACTTGTTCAACAATTTATTTGTTTAGCAATTCTCTGTTCAGCTCTATCTACTTGTACTGTACAGTAATACATTGCGGTTTTTTTCTTTTTATATAGCATTACTTAGTTCAACAATATTTACTTGTGTGCAATATACTGCTTAATAATTTGTTTCTATAGCAATATATCGTTTAGCATTATTTACTTGTACAGCACTATTGATAT